AAATTGTCGAGCTAAACACACCGAGCGAACACTTAGAAAATCTACAAGAAATGTCATACACATCAAAGGCATTCGAACAAATACGAAAAACGAGCATAAAACAACATGCAAACAACGAGCGCACACTTAGAAAATCCATGATAAATATATTTAACAAAAGCGGGCACCAGCCCAGTAGTCAATAGTACAAAAACGAGCACGCAGGCCCAAAGCAAAAGATAAACACCGGCACGCAGGCCACAAAACAACGAGCACGCAGGCCCGGCAACCTACACTTCCTCATCAGCTCGGTCAGCAGCCACGGTTTCCTCCTCGGGGATAACGAAATAAGGATCGATCACCCTCCCATCGACGATCTCGTGGTACGGCCCTATCCCGTCCACAACCAGCTCGACACCAGGGTTGGCGACCTGAATCTGCTCGACCGCATTCTTGAACCCGACCTCAACGGCTTCCAGACAATCGCTCTCCAACACCCGGATACGGGCGATCAAGTCAGCACGGGTGATTAAACGCCGATCCCCCTCAGTCTCGTCCTCGGCCGGACGAACAGCGCTATCCAGAACCTCCGTACGAACCTTCAGCGCCTGCACCTCGGCCGTCGCTATCCCCAGCTTCTCCTCCAGCGAACTCACCTTCCCCTCAGCACCCTCTGCCCGTTTCCGTTCCTCGGCAACGTCCTTCTGGCTCTTCTCCAACTCCTCAGTGAGCTTGGCCAACCGCGACTGCGTGAAGGTGAGATCCCCTTGCAGTTTGGACAGCTCAGCAGCGGAGCAGCCTTCCTCGTTCAGCACAAGAGCCGTCGTAAACGTCCGCATCATCGCGGCCAAGTCCTCAGCCAGGACACGTCGACGGGCCTCCCGATCAGCCTGACGAACAGCCTTCACCTCCCCGGCGGAAACGGTGGGGGAACGGGCACCATGAAAATATCCCGGGTGCTGGTGGCAGGGAGGGACGACATAACCTTCCTCGGCGGCGCCGACCGTCAGATCCACCACCCGAGGCTCCTCGGACCTCTGCCTCTTCGACACTCCTTGGGACACAGGGGATTGGCTCTCTTGAGGCGACGAGGACGAAGTTTGACCCCCCTGCGTCGCGACCTCCTGACTGACCAGCTGACTCACCCTCGTCCTCGGGACCCCGGCACTCCTGGCAGCACGCAACTGCTTCACCCGCTCGTCGACAGTAGACATGTTCGCTGCAAAAACAAAGAAATAGGTTAGCGACGATCAAAAACCCCGACCACGAGGGAAAACGAAACATCCCTACCTAGATAATCCAGAGCGGCCGCCCCGGTCGCGCAGCCGAGCAAAGTCTTAGTATTTATCAAACGCTTTTTAGTGCGTATGTTCCCCTGGGCATCGAGGATGTACCGACCGTCGGGCGTCACCAACTTCGACGGGGGAAGTGACCGCACAAAGGCAATTATTTTTAAATAAGCGGCCATGTCCTTCTCCTCGAGGGTTCCCGCCCGGACGATATACCTATCCGTCCCTCGACTGAAATGCTCCGAGGTCCACAGCAGATGTATCTTAGGAAGCCACGCGCGGAACCGCTGGCCATCTACCGTGCGCTCGCCCTCGTCAAAGAGAGTGTCCGATCCGTACTGCGTGATCGGTTTGACGAGGTAGAACCGACCCTTGAAGTCTTTGACAGAATCACTATACGCTTTGAAAATTTTGGTCGATTGTTTGAAAGAGACCCATCCGTGACGACCTCGCACCGTCTGACGCTGCAAATGAAAGATGCGAAAGAATAACGGCACCGTCGGCTCCACCGAGAGGCAGAAACACACCACTTCAAAAGCCCGGATGAAAGCCAAAGCGTTTGGGTGCAGCTGAGACGGGGCAAGACGCAGCCAGTCGAAAATCCCCAGATGGAAGGCGGAAAACGGCAACCGGAGCCGAGCTTCCTTAAAATAAAACTCGTACATCGGGAACATCTTCCGCCCATAGCGCGAACAGATCCGGTGATGCGCTTTCGGGCGATACACCTGCCAGTGTTGCGTTTCTCCTAGCGGCGTGTCCTCGACCGTGGCATACACGTCGGACGGGTCGACCACAAAACAAGAAGGGATGGTAAGTGGCTCCTCGGCCGCCCACTCCTCGGGCGAGGAGACGCGCCCGTCGTCATACTCCGGGACCTCGGGTTCATCATCTTCAACCATTATCCCCGGCACCAGAGCCGACATCTACACCTGAAAGCAGAGGACCTCGGTGAATTCGATAGCCAGGATCAAATCCACCCTTCCACCGCAAGTCAAGTGAAAGGGCGACAAAGGCCGAGGGGCGGCGAGCAGACATGCGCTCCCCGCCTACCCTCCTCGGGGATCGAAGAACGACCCCTCAGCCCTTCGGGGCGGCCTTCGGAGAAGATACTTCTCCCCGGGGCAGTCATCAGAAAAAGCCCCCGTCCTCGGGGCATTCATCGGAGAAAAGCCCCCGTCCTCGGGGCATTCATCAGAAAAAGCTCCTGTCCCCGGGGCATTCATCGGAACTAGCCTACCGTCCCCGGGACATTCATCGGAAAACTCGCCAGACGCGGCGGAACTCGCATCCCTCCTCGGGGCGTTCATCGCGCCCCGACCACACGTCCCAGTTAGACGACGAAAATAAAAGAGAGGGAGAAGAGGAACTCACTTGTAACGGCGGCGGACGGAAGAAAAAGCGAATGGCACGGCGTTGATCGGCGGCGAACGGCGGACGGACAGAGACGATGAAAGATCAACAGGGAGAAAAGTAGCAGAATGAGCGGGGATCGCCATATTTATAACCCGGCGCGAGGCTCGAAGCGACCCTAGGCTCATTAATGACATAGGTTAGCCGCCCCTACGACCGCTCAACGCAAGACACGTGGAAGCAGCCTGACAGTCGCGTCTCTCCATCTGCCTCCTCCCCGTTCTACCGACGACCGGAGCCCTTCGCACGAGTCCCCCGCTCCAGACATGACGACCTTAAGTCCTCGCTCTTCCCCAGAGCTTCGACTTGGGGGGCTCCTGTTCCGGTGTGGGCCTCACCTCGGCAGGCCCAATACCAAATACGGCCCAACAGGCGAACTGAGCACACCTGGCACACGCCCCTTCGGACGAGCAGGACCGTCCGCCGGGCACAAGCCATCACGCCGCATCCCCTTCGTCGTCCGTCACACCAGACGAGCGAGACTACCCGGGCTCCCTCCGCGGGAGAATAACGTGCTCGGCGCACGTTCTCCACGTGCTCCCCTCCGCGGGGACACGTCATCGGCCAACCGCCCACCTCCGAAAGAGCAGGTCAAATCCACTTTCCGGAGACCTAGGAGCGGTTGAACTAGGGCGAAGACCACGTCCTGGTCTTCACTACGCCACGTAAGCCCTAGCAGTCATTAGGGTTGGGCCTGGTCGTCTGGCCCACCTCGAATGACCGTTGGCCCAGCGCTGGGGTCTCTCTATAAATACCCTCTTCTTCAAGAGGGTCAGGTAACTCTTCTTGCCCCCTTTTCTGTACTATTGCTTCCTCTCTGTCCAACTTCTTACTTGGGCGTCGGAGTGCTTTGCAGGTACACCCCCTCCTCGTTCTTACCTCGGCGAACAGATAACCGTCCGGCGAAGCGTGGCCAGTCCGTGATCCCTCCTGATCAGGTCAGATCAATAAATAAGATGTTTTTTTAATTTATATTCTACAGAATTTCACAAAGAAATTTATTATTTAAAAAATAAAAAATAAATTTTAAGTATAAAAATATAAGAGAGACCAAAACATTTAAATTTACAATTTAATAAATCACATAAAATAAAAAATTAAAACCAAAATTAAATCATTTCAAAAATGTGATTTTTAAAAATAAAATTATGTTCTATAAATTTGAAAAGTACATTTGATATTTAGTAACTTAAATATTTATTATTATAATTTTTAATATAGTCAAAATTAAATACTTGAAAAGAAAAGATATATATTTAAATAATAATTCTTATTAAAAATTATTTAAAACCATTTCAATTTTATTTTAATTTAAATAAAATATGTCTTTTAAAATAAATTTCCAATAAATATATTAAATAAGGGATTAAAGTGAAATCTAAAATTAAATTAAAATTTTTTATGTCTAATTAAGCCTTTTGTCTATTAATTTTGTATCATATATTTGATTTTATTTAAATTAAATATATTTTTGAATCAATTCTTAATATATATCATTTGAAAAATTTGAAGCTTTTAACACTATCATTAATCGTAATCTTATCAAATAAATTTGTCTATTGTAAAATATAACCATGATATTCAAATTTTACTATATAAAATTATCAATTGTATTGATAAGGAATATCAGTTATAAAAAATATAATTAAATTAAATTATCAATCGTTAATATATTAATAATTAAATTAAAATTTTAAAAGTATTTTTAATTTAGATCTTTAAGCTCCATAGAAAAAAAATAAAAACAAAAAATGTAAGAAACTCTTTAATGATGAATATTTAATTACAAGTACTTCAATATAAATTGTGTAAAAATTTTAAATTATTTTAAAATAAAATAAAATAATAATGATTTAAGTTTTTCTAATCCCATATTTTAATATTGGGATTTATTAATCTCTTATCTTATAAAAGATTTATATTGTTTTTTAAAATTATTTAATATGTATTATATTAATTTTTTTATTTAATTAATGACAAATTTAATAATTAATTTTTAAATTATTAATTAGATGAAAAAATTAACATAATACGTATTGAAAAGTTAAAAAATTTTAAATTATTTAAGTGATGGAATCAAAGTAAACTATAAGGTTATAATATAAAATTAAAATGAATATTAAATCAATACAAAAATGACATGTAATTTGAGGATATCGATATTCAATTAAATTTACAAATTTAAAGTGTTATTTTTATTTTATTTTCATCATTGCCACATGGCAGCATTGATGTGGCATTACATCTAGCAGCACCATCATCATCTTACAAAGATAGTTGTGAGTGAATTTAGAACGAACAGTGTGAAAACAATTCAATTCAATGGCACACAAACTCCTCTTCAAACCAACCTTCATTCTCACTCTCACTAAACAATTCACAACAAAACCTCTCAACTATTCACACCTCCACTTTCTTCATAATCATCACCATTGTCCATTTTTTCACTCCAAACTATCCTCTTCCTTTCTCAACCTCAACACTCACCCAATCTCACTTCGCTCCACAACAACAACAACCACCGCCACCTCCGCCGGTATCCCCAATTACGGCGGTTACCTAGACCTAACTGACGATGACCTAATGCGACAGTGCGAAATGGGAACATTCAAAAGCTCCGGTCCCGGTGGTCAACACCGTAACAAACGCGAATCTGCTGTTCGACTCAAACATTTACCCACTGGTATCATCGCTCAGGTTCTATTCCTTTTTCACCTTTTTCAATTTTCAAAATTCCGTTTTTTTAAATTTAAAATTCTAATATTATGGGTTTGTTAATTTTAATTTGTAATGTTTTTAGGCCTCTGAAGATCGCTCTCAGCATATGAACCGCGCTTCTGCTCTTAAACGCCTTCGCTCCCTTATAGCTCTCAAAGGTTAGTTTATTTAGTATATGTTTGGTTTCACGGTTGGAGCATTTATAATTGATTCTAGATGTAGAATTGATTTTGACATGTTTGGTTTCACGGTTGGAGCATTTATAATTGATTCTGGATGTAGAATTGATTTTGACATGTTTGGTTGCTATAGAGTAGAATTGATTATGCTTTTCGGAATTGATTCTCTTTGAAGCTAGGATTCGTAGCTTTTGAGTCATAATGTGATTTTTACGTTGGAATTTACAGATCAACTCTGTCCGACAAATCACTTTACCTTCAACTCACCATAGAACCTTTAGAAATAGTCAACACAAGAAAAATTAACACAAGCCATAATAGGAAAATAAGGGAACGACTTATATTTTATTGTAACATGATTCATTCATTTATTAGTATGTAAGACACTATAAATTGTCATATGTTTAGTGTAACAATCATCAAGCAACATTGTAACAACAACATATATACATATATATAAACAAAGTTACTACTTTCTCAATATAATCAATTTTTATTCTTTAGACATATATTCCTTCATACAAGTTATTATTCTAGCTATATTATTTCGTGTTCAACTTTAGTGAGGGCGATATTTCATATCGTTATTAGAAGCCAAATTTCCGCTGCGACTCCAACAATTGGTATCAGAGGAAATTTGGCTTCTAATAACGATATGAAATATCACCCTCACTAAAGTTGAACACAAAATAATATAGCTAGAATAATAACTTGTATGAAGGAATATATGTCTAAAGAATAAAGATTGACTATATTGAGAAAGTAGTAACTTTGTTTATATATATGTATATATGTTGTTGTTACAATGTTGCTTGATGATTGTTACACTAAACATATGACAATTTATAGTGTCTTACATACTAATAAATGAATGAATCATGTTACAATAAAATATAAGCCGTTCCCTTATTTTCCTATTATGGCTTGTGTTGAATTTTTCTTGTGTTGACTATTTCTACAATTCTCCACCTCGTTCATAATTAAAAAAAAACCTTAAATTTTGGACGAAAATGGAATAATGTTTAGAAGTATGTTTCACCACCGGAGAAAATATCTCATTGTAATCAACTCCTTCCTTTTGTGCAAACCCCTTGGCCACTAGCCTAGCCTTATATCTTGTACCGCATGACTTAGTATGATTTTCTTTTCTTTTATACACCCAGTTACAACCAATAGCAGACTTTCCTACAGGCAATGGGACCACCTCCCATGTCTTGTTCTTGTGAAGAGATTGCATCTCTTCCTCCATAGCAACCAACCAACTCTCTCTATCTTTGTCTTTGATAGCTTGCTTGAAGGTGACCGGCTCATCATCTTCAACCGAGAGTGCATATTCAACCAAGTGAACTTGCCCATAATGCCTCAGAGGTTTGTCTGACCCAAACTTCTGAACTGTTTTATAATTTCTCTTTGGCCTAGTGGTATCCAAAGATTCCTGCTGTTGTTGTTGTAATACATGTGTATTTTCCTGTTGAACCTCCTCTTAATCATGTTCATCCTCTTGCTCGTCTTCACTGGCGATAGGATTCTCCACCTGACCACGACTAGAATCTGGTTGGTCTTCAGATTCTATCTCAATAACTTGCTTATTTGATATCGTCACATCACCATCTCTAGGCACCATAGATTTTTCATCAAAGGTAACATCCCTGCTAATCACAAACTTAGAATCTTCTACACTCCAAAGGCGGTAGCCTTTGACCCCTGTTGCATATCCTAGAAAGATAGCTTTCTTGGCTCTATTATCAAGTTTGTTTTCCTTGACGTGATAATAAGCCGTGCATCCGAATATTTTTAGTCTTTCATAATCAGCATGCTCACCTGACCACACCTTATAGGGTGTGTCTCCACCTAAACTAGAATGTGGGGATCTGTTTACAACATAACAAGCTGTAGCTACCGACTCTGCCCACCATTCTCGACCTAACCCAGAATTAGAGCGCACACACCTTGCTTTCTCAAGAAGTGTACGGTTCAGTCTTTCCGCGACTCCATTCTGTTGCGGTGTGCCTCTTACCGTCCAGTGTCTAACAACGCCTTCCTGATCACAGAACCTCTTGAAAGCTCCATCCGTATACTCTGTACCATTATCCGATCGCAGAGTTTTCAGCTTTCTACCCGTTCTGTTCTCAACCATTGCTTTCCAACACTTGAAAGTATCAAATACCTCATTCTTATGCTTAAGGAAATAAATCCAAGCATACCTCGAATGATCATCAATGTATGTAACAAAGTACCTGGAACCACCCTTAGAGGTAACCGGAGCCGGACCCCAAACGTCAATATGCACATAGTCTAACATTCCCCTGCTTTTATGCTTGCTTGTAGAAAACCGCAACCTATGTGCTTTGCCATACACACAATGTTCACAAAATTCCATGCATGGCTTTTCCATGTTCTTCAGCAAACCTTTCTCACCAAGCAGTGATAGACCCTTTTCAGACATATGCCCAAGGCGCATATGCCACATCCTGGTACATTCAGTTTGATCTTTACTTCCACTGATTCCAACTGCCAAATCACCTGTGACAGTTTCCCCAATAAGAGGATACAGATTCCTGTGACGAACCCCCTTCATCACAACCAAAGAACCACGAACAACCTTTAAGCCTCCATTTTTCAAGATTATTTTGCAACCATTTTCCTCTAATACACCAAGAGAAATAAGGTTTTTCCACAAATTAGGGACATGTCTCACGTTCATCAGAGGGAGAGGAGTCAAACAATTAGGGGTAGAGGAAGACCTAGAAAAACTATAAGAGAAATTATTAAGAACGATATCAAGATTAACAATTTGGATAGAAGCATGGTTCTTGAGAGAACATTATGGCGGGAGTTGATCTATGTAGCCGACCCCTGTTAGTGGGATAGATTTGGTTGTTGTTGTTGTTGTTGTTATTGTATGGTTAATGAATATAATAAAGTGTCGTAGTTGTTGTTTTTGTATGGTTAATGAATATAACAAAGTGTCATAGCTCATAAACTATAACCTGAACACGATTAAGTACAATGTTCAAGGATTCATATTTATAGTTATATCTATTATTCATCCAATGTATTATGCTCTAGTAGTTTTAGTTGTGTTCAGTTGATGGTTAATGATTTGAAAAACCTTGTTATTTTCATTAACATGCTATTGAACCTTATTAACCATCTAATTTGTTGTTGAAATTTGATGTTAAGTTTTTGTAGCAAAATAACACCACTATTTTAAAAATCTGACCCAAGATTGGACTAACGAGACCTTTAGATTATGATTCAAATGGTTTGAACCAGATCACTAATAAATAAATTAAAAGTAAATAAAAAATTAAAAGTAAATAAAAAATTAAAAATAAAACCTGTTTAATAAACCGTAGTTAGTGTTAAGAATTGCAGATGATAGACCTTGGCGTAAAGCCAAAAATCTGCAATTTTAAGCTTGCCATATCCACCCTAAAATGCCATGGCACTTCCATCCTTCATAAATTAGCCATGGAGGTTGTAAAAAATTCTATCACCGCAATTAGCCCCTGCAATACTTGATAACACTGATTGCAGTTCAACCTGGTGTCACCATATTACAATTCAAATGGGTGGTTTAATTGGTTCAGTCCAATTCTTCCTGGTTTGACTAGATTACGGTTAAAATGGGATTGAAGGACAAACTGGTTAGTTTTTGAAACATTGGTTTATTGATTGGGAACCAAATTTTATGTATCCTTCCTTGTTTGTTCCTCTAATTTAAAAAAGTAAAAATTAAGAAAATTACAAATGATAATGGTGCTGTTAAAGAGAGAGAACTATCTTTCTGTTTAGTGATGGATAATTTTTACTTTCTTTTAGTGGAGGGATAGAAATTAGTACCAACAAAGGGAACTGGGAATTTTAGCGGCTCAGACTTGTTGTCTTAGAAAATGATGCAGTCAGTTGAGTGTGTTTGGAAATCATCATTTAACGGTGATTTCACACATTCAGCACGAAACCACCCCTTGGATAGGTGGTGATTTCACACATTCAATACAAAACCACCCCTTTAGTAGGGGAACAACCCTACGGCTAGAGGTAAGGTACATGTTTACAAACATGCTATTTGTCTTGTAGATGCACATTAGTTGGATGAAAATTGAATGACTCATATTGACTTCAGCAAATTGGATTCAAAACATAACACAAAATTGTAATATTGTGTGCTATATAGTTTTCATTAATGGCTCTGATTTTCTGACAGTAATTAGCTGTTCTGTATAATTTATTTTTTTGATAAAGCTGTATCATTTTTTTACTGCAGTAAATCCGAGTCATAGTTTTAGTGCTTGATATTCACCAATAATTAATGCATAAAACTGCTGCACCCAAGTTGATTATACTAGTCAGTTATCAATTAACTATTGTTATTACAACGTGTCAATCTCTATTGGCCTTTGTTTGCCATGGGCTTGTGCATTGATTTTTCCTAGTTTGAACCAAGTATTTATTTACTGATCAGTCCAGTATCAAGTCGGCAACTGAGATATGCGATGAAGGGGTTACTCTCTCCCATTTTTTGGGGTCCCGAATCACGTATCGAATTGCATTCTGGAATACCGAATTGGAGATTGATATCGCTATAGGTACATTTAGTGGTTCAATTGGTTTAAGCGACCAAAATTGGCGGTTGAACCGTATACTAAACAGGATAACTAGACTGGATATATGGATGATTAACACTTCACAATCTGACTGCTTGAGGTTGTTGTTCTGGTCTATGGTTTCAAATTCGCTACATGTGTCCAGTCATGAAGTACCAACACAAATACCAAACACACGCTAGACAAGCCTTCAATGTGAAACGTCAATGCTACATAGATCCATATTTACATTGAGATAAATAGTTTATTTACATATAGTAAACAATGCTTTGTCTGATAGAACTTGTTATTTTTTCGAGCTAGTCAGGAAAACGGTGGATCTTGAGGCTTATGCACCCCCTCGAGAGCTTCTTCAGATACTTCCTCCCAAGTCATTAATTAGAGGGTCAGAGATTGGCTCACAAATTGGACCCAATAACCCAAAATTTGCAATGGTATGCTCAACCGTCTATCCCTTGAATTTTTATTCATTTCTTCTTTATCCTAAAAAATCTATTAATTAAAATTCAAAACCTAATTGCAAGTTTGTAACTTGACTATATATGCTTATGGTCCTTCAACAGGGAATGCAAGCTCTTCTTGATCTCATTTTTGCAGTTGACGGATCCGTCTCAGATGCTGCAAAATATCTCGGGTATTTGATATATGCTTTAAGAATTATTAATAATATTTAATTCTGTTCTGTTTCAGTTTTATTATTATTATTATTATTATTTTATTTGAGTTTGGTTGATCATGTGAAGGCTCATTTGTTACTATGGCATTCGGGATTTGTAATTTATGATTTTAGAGGGCCACTATTGGGATGAAAATGTATCTTTTACCTGATACCAACATCCAAATGAATAGTTGTTTTTTCTGGGTATTGAATGTATTCTCTTAAAATTTTGATTGTTAATTATATTGCAGGTTATCTACTGGAGCAGTGTCTCGGTTAATCCTTTCTGATGATTCACTTAGAAAGGAAGTAAATGACCTGCGAGCATCAAAGGTAAAGGGAAATCCTAATCCTTTCTCACCACTTCATGTTGAATAAACTAATTAATAAGTTAAAAATTAATGTTTTACAGACACTACTTGTTTTTAGCTTCTTATTGTGTTATAATAATAATACTAAAACTAATATATACATACTAAAATGATTTTCTAATAATGTGATTAGAAGAAATATGTAAACATAATATACCAAATTAGCAAACAGAGGGTTAGAGAAATATATAATCATGCAGTCTCTAGGTAACTTTTGCATTATCGTTCACTCTCCAAACATCAAGAATGAGTGGATGTGCACTAAGTAATAACTGATAAAAATCAATAATGGGGTTGTGATTTCTTTGACATGATGCTGAACAATGATTGTAAAATTTTCTTATTAACTCGTAGAATCATGTATGTTTACAATTATAGGTATCAGAATTGAGCTAAACTTTCCAAATCTTGTATTAACTTTGGCAGAGTTTCTTAGATTTGTAATTTCGTATAGACTTGCATATTTACAATCTTGAGGAAAGTTGGGTGAGTCTACAATATAATGGTTGTTTTTTTCCACATATGCTTAAAATGGCAATGGTTCAGCATTTTCTCAAAGAACCCAAGATGCAACAGCTGAATGATATGGCTCCGTCATGGTTATCAAAATCTCGATTTAAATCTTAAAATCTTACGAATTTGCGATTTCACTCACCCCCAACGATCTAGATCTTAAGTAGAATCGTGTGTCGTAATCAAATTGTAAAAAAATGGTAAAAACATTGATTATGTGTTATCTTGGCTAATTCAGGCCACAATCGGCCATTTTCCGGCCACGATCGGCCATTTTCTGGCCATGATCGGCCATTTTCCAACCACCACCATTATAGGCCGAGAAGGATGACAAAATAGAGAGGCGCAACAATTATGGTTCAGAGGTGTCAATATTTTCACGAATACACTTGCCTACAAAAATATCATGTAGAAATGCTTCAAATATGTAAGTATTATTGTATGTTTTAGTAGTATCTTATGATTTTTGTTGCGATCTTATGTTTTACGATCTTGCTACCTACTCTCGATCTTACAAATATAATTGAGTAGGATCTTCCGATCTTACTATCCCCTCCCGATCTTATGCAAGATCCCAATTTTTTTGACAACCTTTGGCTCCATAATGCTCAAAACATTATCCTCATAGTAGTAGCACTTGACCCCATAGATGCATCTTAAACCCTAACATGAACCCATCTGCAAAGGTAGTTAATGATGCTGTACTAAGTTTCAACCGCATAGCTCTTAGCGTAAATAAAGCCGCCAACTAGAAAACACAAAGTAAGCTATGAACTAAGCTATTGTTGCATGTTTGCAATTAACCACTTGGCAAACAAAGTAAATGAACCCTCAACCTTGATGAACCGAAAGTAAGCTCTACTGAGCTGAAAACAGCTCCAACAAGGGGAACCTAGTCTCATATTCAACGCATGCTAGTTGTTTTGTTTCATTCTGGAACCCTGTACCTAAGGAATGCTGAGAAATGTTGTTGAATATGGAAATGCAATGCTAGCCATGTTTCTTTTCCTAACCAAAATGAATTAAAATAATCTTGTGAAATTTGCTTTAGCTTATGCTATTATGTTTGTAGTTATGCTACATTTGAATTCGACACAATACATGTTTCCGTTATAGTGAAGAAGAAAAGACGAGAATCCTTCTATTCTATAATACATTTTTTTATGAAGTACTGTTACATTTTGACATTTTGTTCTTATCTTCATGTGAAAGATCTGTTTTTCTTTTATCTAACAAACAATAACTTGAAATCTTCTTTTTGGAACGCAAACAGGGTATGAAGCCTCTCAAGTAGATGCCTAAAAACCTAACCCAATTGAAAAGGTTGAAACATGAAAATGAACAATATAGAAGCTGATGAAATTGAAAAAAGTTGAGTTTTCAGATTGTAGAAAAAACTCAACACATTCTTCAGAACACAACATTAGAGTTGGATGAAACTTGTCTTAAGGTTTGTGCTTCAAGAATATCAAGATGGTATCATACCCACATTTCTCAGTAGATTTTTATTGTTCAAGATAGCTTGTGTAAATATTTTATTTCTCTGCTTCTATATACACTATATACAGTGTTTAATTTAATTTGTTTCTATAGAAGATAAAGTTGGCAAATTGTAATTAAAGATGCAGATATTTGTAGATTTTATAGAAATAAATATTATATTTATCAGTTTCTTGACAGGATAATGGTGTGTGCACCACCTATCAAAGTGATTCACTTTAGAATTTTTGCTTTGAAAATTTTTGTTCATGAGTATAACATTTATATATCTATTGCTTTTCTCTATCAGGACTGTCAGCTCTGAAGTTGATGGTAGAGATGCTGTTTTAGCTTCAAAGCATCAAGTTGGAAATTGACACAAGGAATTCTATATACCAACCATGGATATTCTCAGCCTCCAACAGCATTCACACCGAATCTGATTGGATGGATAGTTGTATGCTACAAAGTTTACATGGCATGGTTAAAATCCTGGTTAAATTTAACTAAATTTAAATTGCATAGGTGATTAAAACAAGAATTGTCAAATTATAGCATAAGTATTACTATAGAGAGTAGGGATGGCCAAAGGGTATGATAGTCTTATTTAGGTCTATCCCATAAAAGTCCTGAAAAAAATAAAATAAGACAGAACATATGCATAGTTAAGTGTGGGAGCCTAAGAATTGGGCCGGTATGCGAAAAAATGAAGGAAAATGTTCTTTTCACCTTTATGGGGTTCCCACACCACCGTAAAATGTTAGAGATGTTCATAGGGTTTGAATATGCATATTCAAACACACCACCATAAAATGTTAGAAATGTTCATAGGGTTTGAATATGCATATTCAAACACATCTTTTTCACACTGTTCAGTTGAATTTGCTGAGAAATCTTTATTATGTTAAAAATTGATTTGGAGATGCATCTCTATATGCATAAAGAGTTTATTCAGAGATGAATCTCTGTACTATAACTTAGTTCAATATTCAGTGAGATTTTCTGAGATACATCTCTAAAATATGCTCTGTTACTTCAAACTAGAAACAATGTCAGCATAATAGAAAAACAACATAAGTTAACATCAAAATAAATATTATATAGATAAAAGTTAATGTTAATATAACTTTAACATTATATTTAATTACAAACTAATTGTTTAGGACGTTGTAACATCCTTAGAATATCTTCGGCTGATCTTGCAATTGTTGCGTTCACTTCAATCGGATCTTTTGTTGAGTAATGGTGAAAGATATTCTATATAACCTTTAAATCATCACCTGTCTTTAGTTCAAGCATGGTGAAACGTATTTTTCCTTTGTTGTTAATCGAGGATGAACGCTTCCCGAGCTTGACAACTCTCCGATTTTCTAGATATAGTAGGAGAATATTTAGTTTGGTTTTCAGATTGACGAAAATATGTCCTCGCAAACCCGAAATTGAAGTGGGGGGTTTTGTGCAATTGAAATACACAAATGTCAGATGGGGGTTTTGCGCCATTGAAATACACAAATGTCAGATGAGGATATGTAGTCATTTTGGCTTGTGTAAAGAAAATGGAATGAGAGACTCTATTTATAAAATTTGTAGATCAATAAGGACCTTACAAACCATATCATATCATTAAGGGGCTTTACGGGGATACACATCTGTATGGACCCCATTTTGTTTTTTATAAATAATTTAAAGGTGTGTCCATAGATGCATTTCTGGATACATTTTTTTTCTTCTAGAAATAAGGGAAATTACGAAGATGCACCTTCGTAAAGTCTCTTGTATTACTTTTTTTATAAGTAAAAGATGTTTTCAGAGAACCACTTTTCATACAGACCATAGTATTATGCAGTGCATAATTTTAAAAACACTAAAATTGTCTAAAAAATACCATTCAATTTTATAACAAACAGTGCGTTACATACGAAAAACGAGTTATATTAAAATTAAAATGCATTAAAATATAAGTCACTACCTAAATCTACCAGTGGTTCCTTCTTTGACATTTCTTTATTTGTTTCTCTTTCAATATTGTTCAACTTGGTGAACTATTCCATCCTTTCCAGAAAGTGATTCAGCCAAGATTTAACGTCTTATGTGAAATGTGTCATCCACTCCAGTGATCTCTTTGGTATAGGATATTTCAGTTTCAATTAAATCTGAACAAAATTTAGTTTTTTTTATAACCAATAAATACACATGATGCATTCCGATAGACTTTGAGGTGACTTACTCTGAAGTGAAAAGCATGTTTTCTAGAAACCATATCATGTTAAATCAATACATACCATATCATAAGCACTTATAAGATGTCCCATTTTTGGGAAGCACATTCTTTTGAGAATTGAATCGTAATTTGCATTGTTCCCATATAGCTTTCTGTATGATTTCCTATGTTTGTCATCTCTTGTATAAGATGACGATAGAAAAATTGGTAGTCCTTCACTCCTTTACCGAGCAAATTGGAAACAATCCAAAAACTACAGTTGTCGTCACTTTCAACGTTTACAATTTTTTCGATGTATTTGAGCATAAAAAACTGCATCTCTTCAATGTTTTTGGTTTTTGGTAGCGATGGTGGATGAGATGGTTTTCTAATGCAATGACCCTTGAAAATTCGTTAGCCAAGCATGTGCAGATTCAACTATGTTATACTTGTATTGTCAAAGTGTCGAACTTGATCGGTCCAGGCACAAACAATATTCTCTTTAACCTGATCCAAAATAATGCCCTCAACATATTTTAACATATTTTAGCAAATCTGAATATCTCTGACACACATTCCTGAAATGTATTATAGATTCAACATATAATTTTTTCGTAGAAGAATTTATTCTACCATTTCATGCATCCATTATATTTTCTACCACCACACTAGGTTTGACCATTTTTCTATCTTCTAGTTTGACTTGTTTCGTGCCAACTGTAGATTTTACTCAATTTCTCATATTTTTGGTTATATGATACTTACAAAGTAATGAGGATGATGTAGGAAAAATCATTGCAACCGAATTCATCAATGTGGTATCGCGATCAGTGGTTATTACACACGACACATTTTCTATGTCCTTCAACATAGTCTTCCACACTTCCAAAACCCATGTAATATTGTCCAATTTTCCATATTCCAAAAATGAAAATCCGCCTGAATAAGTCATCTCCATAAAATTAACACCAACAATTTCCAGGAGTAGAAGTATATAATTATTTAATTTGTATATTGAGTCAATTATGAGCACAAAGGGGAAAATGTTGAACAACTTGATGGAATAGGGATGACTCTAAAATATATCTCGAATAATGACTTTGTCTTCACAAACTATGTACCTCAAAACATAGTCGTCATCTTCCAATAGCTTCTACAATTGTTGAATCTCAGATTTTGGTCCTCTTACCGTCTTGCTGTCTCGAGCACACACGTTGTATATTTGTTTGATATTTGAAACATTTAGAGGTCTTTTTTGTTTCAAAGATGCGAGTATGTATTTCGGTGCCACCATGTTTAATGTCATGTTTGAAACAAATTCACTCTCTTCTGAAACAAGGGGACATACAATGAGATGGCCGACTATGTAACACCCTTTTCTACCCCACAAATATAATGGCAAATCAATCACATTTATCAGAGTAATATTTTAAACACAATAAAAATCACCTCAAAGGGCGTACATTTGTCAATAATTCAACTCAAAGTCAATGCTCCGTAACAACAGATTTTCCCAAAATTACTCAAAAATTGCTCAAATGGCTGCGAAACTTAAAAGGGCAAACCCAAAGTTTTCCTTGCACAACAACATAATCAAACTAACAAAAATCAATAAAACATGGTTTAACTCAAAGACCCTAATCCGATGTTACACTATCAGAGCAAGACCCTCTAAGTCAATCAAAATGTCAAAAACTCCAAAAAGTCCACGACGGCATCCATGGCTAAACCTGGTGATCTGCACGTTACCCACGTGGAGGCAACATTCAAACAGGCAGGATGAGTAAAACGATTCATAATAATCAATATGGGAATCAATATATAAAACATCGTCATTTTCATATTCAACATCATCATAATCATCAAGAAACATCAAAGGCCACAACATCATAAATTACACCAAATTGCCACATAAATGCAAATGCAACAAGACTCATGCATGTGGTACCAATCAATAAAATTCGATGGACACTGGACCATCAACCCTCCATATACCCACAACAGTAGGATCGATTCTACACGAGAACCGGAGCACAACAAAATACCTCACGTCCGCACAATGCGACTGAAGCCACAAAAATCAAGGTCGTAGACCGAAGTCGGAATGCATATGAATGCATCATGCACACGTCAATATCATCCTCATAATAATTTCATTATGTGCATCATCATTCATCAAAATAATCATGAGAATCACGTCATCATAGAATCATCAAAACCTCATGGAATCAACGTCACAAATAATCACAGTCCCTCACGGGGATTCATCATGCAATCATGTATTAATCTCATAAGAATCACAATTATACTCATGGGTACACATCATACAGTTCAAATCAACCTCAAACCTATCAGACCATCAATTCAAATCCCTCAAACTCATTAAACTCACCAGAAAGACAACAACAATTGAATACTCAAAATCCCTAAACCTTTAAATCAGCTTTAAACACATTGAATGACATATTGAAAACAGTGAAGGCAATACTCCCCATACCTTAATTGCCGACTCTAAGTCTTTCTCCTTGATTCTTGGAAACCTCACGGTCTAACAAGAATGAATCCTAATTCCCTCAAAATTCCTTTTTGTTAAACCTAACTTTGGACCTTAAAAT